AGTAATTGAGCGCGGCGGCGAGCCGGGGGCGAGAATGGGCCTCCACGAGCAATTAAATGTGATTAGGCTGAGACCTTCGGGATCCAGCTGGGTGATTGATAACCCGGCTGCATTCCTGCAGGGCTCGCGACTTCAAACGGGCGGCGGGCTGCGGGCGGGGCGGAAGGGGCCTCGGTCAGGACGCGGTCCTCGCTCCGAAGCGCCGGCGGCAGAGGGGGATCCCGCACGCTGCCCCGTTCCCGCGCCAGGGCCGCTCGGTGGCCGGCTCGCCAGGTGCAGCCGCGGACTCGGACGTACGAGCAGATCTGCGCTAGGCCTAGGTGCAGCTCCCGGGACCCCGAGCCCCGCGGGCTCCGAGCGCTGGGAAGTCACTGGAACCCCCGAGGCCAAACTGGAAGACCGGAAAAAGATTAAGCGACGCTACGGAGGAGCAAAGTGACGGGCAAAGAGGAGGGAAGAAAGGAAAGTGGGAGGAGAAAGTTGTCAGAATGAGAGCATTAAAAATAAATTGTAGGCAGGAAAAAATTAACAAGACAAGGTGGGGTGAACATGAAAAATACGAAAGGGGGAGGATAAAAAAGGAAGAACAACAAAAAGGGGAAAGAGTGAGGGAGAAACAAAAGATGTGAAAGGGAAATAAAGACAAAAGAATGAGGGAAAGAAGCCCAGGGTCAGATCCGTGGCAGCGCCAGGCCTGGGTCGCGGCCTGCCCGCCCTTCCACCTCTCTAGGGCAACTTCTGTCTCAACCCAGCGAATCTATGTCCAATGCCAAGCACGGGCAGACCTGGCGCTTGCCGTCCAGAGCCTGGCTCTGCCCAGACCAAGGCATCAGGCCAGCTCTTCACCCTTGCAGGCTGGGTGAGAGACGATCCCACTCTAAGCCCGAAATGAGCAATGGACTCCCCGAGCTCCCAAGCCTGGCCCCTTAAGTCATAAATCACAAGTGGGGGTGCCCAGGGTTCCCCTTGCTTTTGCTGGGATCTCAGCGGCTCCGGAGCTAGGGAACAGTTTCTGTCTGTGTTGACTCCACAGACAGGATAAAACAACATGAAAGAAATCAGAGAATGTCTTCTGTAGGAACTGAACTACTGCAAGAGGGAGACCATGTCAAAAAAAAAAAAAAAAAAAAAAAAAAAAAAAAACCCTAGGAGCTTCAGACACTGTATTAATTAGTGCAACCACCCATGAAAAGTTGGGTTTGGAGCGGCATTCTTTACCCTGTGTGAAAAACCAAGTCTAATAAACAATTGTTAAGTTGGCCTGCTGCCGCTGGTAAATTACATAGCATTAAAAAAATAATGCTTTTCATATTAAGCACTAATTAAAGGTTGGGACAGCTTTAAAATAAGAGAGGGAGGGGGGAAATCAAAGAAAATATAAAACTGTTCTTTCAAGAGTTATGGGAGGTTAATAAAGTATGTCTGTTAGACTGAGTCTGCTTTGCCCCTAGCTACAGCCAAGCTGGAGCCACCACAATTGGGTCTCAATAAGATAATGATATTCCTTTCTCTGCTATTAAAAGCCTCCCAGTGCAAACTTAAAATGATTTATTTAATTTAGGAAATTATGAGGTGTAACTTCAAAGCTCGAGCCGTTAGTAATGGAAAATACCAGGTTGTTTAAAATTATAATAATAATTGTTTGGAGGACTCAGGACATCAAAGTGTTTTCATCAACAAATGCAGAGAGGAGGAGGAGTTTGCAAAGAGTCAGAGGAGATGTATGTATGGAGTTTGGATTCCTAGGACCCTTATCAGGGCAGTATTCAGGAATCTGCAGCCCAGTGCTCCTGCTCTGCTTTGAAGCAAGTTATTTCAAAAAGCATTTTACTGCTGTTCATTTTGTTCTAGGAGGGAGGTGGGAGAGGGTGTCTGGGGTGAGAGGTGGGGTACAGGGGCCTGGAGGTTGACAGGAGGCTTTTCCTCCTTGCTGTGACCACTTTATTTCATTAAAGAGGCCCCCAGCATCACCAATCTCAGATTTTTTGTTGTTCTTACATGAAAGGGGCAGCAGGCACAATCGACTTCAACCAGGCTCTGTGATTTTGGGGAGGGTGTGTGTGTGTGACGTGGGTTCTTTTATAAATGAGGTTTATGCTTATTTCAAGCCCGGCAGTGGAAAAGGAATGGGGGTGGGGCAATGGCCTCTCCAACCCGTGGCAAATGAGATGCTTTTATTGCAAAGAATGGCCGTGGGAGTTTTCATTCGGTCAGACAAGGTTGCGCTCAAAGGCAGGCATCCTCTTTTCAGTCGGGTCAGGCAGACGTTTCACCAGCTCCGCTCTCAGCCAGGCAGGCCTTCCATGCCTACATCCTACCCACCCCCCACCCCATCCCCTCCC